ACATTTACATTTAGAAGATTCTGTAGAAAGCCAAAACAGAGCCCAGGAACCAAATGTTGCTGTAAAAAGATGAAAAAGAAAGCCACGAGTAACGCTCTTGAACAGATGAAACAACGCTGACAAGACAAACTACTGCATGGCCAATATCCAGAACGAGGCTAATAAAACCGATGTTCATAAAGTTAATACTCATCGGTGGTTACGAACATCTGGATTAAAGGCTGAAACAGAAGGCTTTATTCTTACAGCGGAACACCAGAGTCTTTTCATTAAGAACTTTCAGGCAAATATCATACATAATATTGTGGATCCAAAATATAAGGAAACCATAGATCATTTAATCTCAGGATGTTCTGAACTTTCGCCAAATGAATATAAAAAACGTCACTATAGAGTGGGGCAATACTTACATCGGACATTGTGCAAACACTTTGGAAAAGATGTTAATAAACACTGGTATGAACATCATCCAGAACCGGTTACAGAAAGAGAAGATATCACAATTCCATGTAATTAAACCATCTTTACAGACAGGAAGATTGAAGCAAATAGGCCGGACATAATTATGAAAAACAGAAAAGAAAAATCTTGCCTATTAATTGATATGGTTTGCCCCGTGGACTGTAACATACCAACCAAGGAATTTGAAAAACTATCGAAGTATAAAAACCTGGAAATCGAAATAGAAAAAAAAATACATGGAAATTGAAATCAAGTATAGTACCAGTCATAGTAGGTGCGCTTGGAATTATAAAAAAGAAACATAACAACACATTGAAAAAATCCCTAGAAACACCAACTTAAGAGAAATACAAATAATTGTCTTGATAAGTACAATCCACACACTTAGAAGACTTTTTCCCATATAAAGTGTTGTATCCTTAAAACGGTTAGACATAACAACACACCACAAACTGCCTTACGTCTTCCCGTAATATAATAATAATTATATTAATGAAGCTGGGAATTTCATCATAGAAAAGACAAAATATTTGCAAACCTTGCCAGCATAAGGCTTTTACTTAAACCTTCCCCCGTTACTTACATGTTTTGTTCATTCTGTAGAACCGTATTTCTCTTGTCTCTGTTCTCTTCTTGATAAATGAGTAGACTCTCCATCATTCACTGTCATACATGAAGAGTGATATTATATAACAGTTCAGTATTCTTTTCTTTGTTTCTCACGAAAATTTCATATTCCTTTATATTTTACTTAGCTTTTGGAAGGCATCTTTCGTTGTTCCTACACCCTTTCGAACTATGGTACCAAATGTTTCGTCGCCTGACTAGATATTTAAATTTTATACTTGGTTGATTTTAGTATCACCAATTCATAGTTTGCATTTTGTTTTTATATTCTCTTACCGTCAACCATACGTTCTTTCTTCTTACGAGTGACGCTTACTCTTTTCTTCTCTCTTTTCTTTACTGCCTTCTGTGAGAGTTCCTGCAGGTTCCTTTATTTGTCTATTATCAACACTGTCATCTGCATATCTTGTTTCTAAGATTGTGTCCGCCAGTAAAAAAAAAAGAAAAAAAAAGCGGTAGGACTTGTTGTTCGTTCAGGATTGCATCGCTGTTAAGGTTAATTAGATCCGGTTAGAAAATGCTGAAAAAAAACAAAAAAAACAAAGAAAATGATCTCCAGAGTTGGTTGCTTTAAGGAATTTTGTTCTTTAACAGATACCCCTTATCTCAGCGCCATAAATATTGGCATAAAAATGTTTAGAAAAAAAAACAATAAACGCCTTATTGACACATTTTCATGGTCACTATAAAGATAACCGCTTTTTCTTTGGGCAGATATACAAGGTGCGATTGATAAATTGTCGCCATTTTATATTTTAATTTCGCGCCTGCCCGTTGTTTGTTTGTTTGTTTTTTTTATTTTGTTTGACTGCACAGTATAGTAGAGTTAGTTGGACACCATCAGTGGGGGGGGGGGGAAAGAGCACCATGACGCAATTCACACCGCCAGAAATTTGAAAATATCATGCTTTGTTAATTGGCATTCGCACCGAAAGCTCTAATACGAACATTTCCGAGTGTTTGGGTCTCAATTTGAGGACAATGCTGAGGATTCGGAAAGAGTCGGATGCGTCTAATGGTGATTACGAAATCACAGCAGTTCGGAAAAGTCACTCTGATCGTTCTGATATTAAAAAAAAGAACTCCCAAATTTGTTGGTGCAGTCCTCAGACTCAACACGGATGTCTACATCAAGTGTCTTGGGGAGGTAGTGCTACACTGGGTCAAGAGGGTGGCTTTGTGGCAGGCAGCAGAGGTCTGCTACACAAGGAGGAGAACACAGTCATGGCTGTCAGACAATTTTCTGCGACCACATCACCCCTTACATCTGACCACCTAACTCCACAGTCTGAAACTCCCTTGATTTTTATATGTGGGGCGCAGTTGAGCGAAAAACCAAAAAATCTCCTTGTAATGCCAAAGATGAACTGAAACCAAACATTCTACAATTTAAACAAGGACACCTTCCAGAAGAGATGCAAGAAATTCCGAAGTTGTCCCGTCCTGGGTAAGACGATAAACTACATCCGACAGCAAGGCCTCTGATTAGGAGGTTTTGAGGAGCGTGGAATCAACTCTTAATTGCTGGTCTTCGCAGATCCACCCTGACCCGGGTTGATAGCACCTCGTAGGGTCTCAGGTTTGGGCAAATAGTTAACACCCAAACTGGTGTCAAAACACTATGAAAGTGTAAAAATATATTTTAATACTAGTAATAACTATTTGAGGAAAAATTATCACCAGCAATACATTAAAAATATAACCAGCAATACATTTTTGAATGAAAAAAAAACACTTTACCAGCAATACATTTTTTGAAAAAATATTACCAGTAATAAAAATCTCGGCATTAAATAAACAGTTCAGGTTGATATACCGTAAAACAAAACAAAGCAAACCAAACTGAACTTGTCTAGAGGCCGTGGTTGAATCCAATGATATTTTTATTGCATAAATGTACTCTTTAGTATTTCAAGATATTTTTTGCGTAATTCTGGTAAATATACTTGTTCAAATGCGATGTCAGTGTTATTTTCATTTTTGCGTCATTTAGACGACAATTTATCCATCGCACCCTGCATGTCGTAAAATGAGATGTCAGTGTTATTTTCATTTTTGCGTCATTTAGACGACAATTTATACATCGCAAAAAATGAGATGTCAGTGTTATTTTCATTTTTGCGTCATTTAGACGACAATTTATCCATCGCACCCTGCATGTCGTAAAATGCGATGTCAGTGTTATTTTCCTTTTTTGCGTCATTTAGACGACAATTTATCCATCGCATCCTGCATGTCGTAAAATGAGATGTTAGTGTTATTTTCATTTTTGCGTCATTTAGACGACAATTTATACATCGCACCCTGCATGTCGTAAAATGAGATGTCAGTGTTATTTTCCTTTTTTGCGTCATTTAGACGACAATTTATACATCGCACCCTGCATGTCGTAAAATGAGATGTTAGTGTTATTTTCATTTTCGCGTCATTTAGACGACAATTTATACATCGCACCCTGCATGTCGTAAAATGAGATGTCAGTGTTATTTTCATTTTCGCGTCATTTAGACGACAATTTATACATCGCACCCTGCATGTCGTAAAATGCGATGTCAGTGTTATTTTCCTTTTTTGCGTCATTTAGACGACAATTTATCCATCGCACCCTGCATGTCGTAAAATGAGATGTTAGTGTTATTTTCATTTTTGCGTCATTTAGACGACAATTTATACATCGCACCCTGCATGTCGTAAAATGAGATGTCAGTGTTATTTTTCATTTTGCGTCATTTAGACGACAATTTATCCATCGCATCCTGCATGTCGTAAAATGAGATGTCAGTGTTATTTTCCTTTTTGCGTCATTTAGACGACAATTTATACATCGCACCCTGCATGTCGTAAAATGAGATGTCAGTGTTATTTTCATTTTCGCGTCATTTAGACGACAATTTATACATCGCACCCTGCATGTCGTAAAATGAGATGTCAGTGTTATTTTCCTTTTTTGCGTCATTTAGACGACAATTTATACATCGCACCCTGCATGTCGTAAAATGCGATGTCAGTGTTATTTTCCTTTTTTGCGTCATTTAGACGACAATTTATACATCGCACCCTGCATGTCGTAAAATGAGATGTCAGTGTTATTTTCATTTTCGCGTCATTTAGACGACAATTTATACATCGCACCCTGCATGTCGTAAATGCGATGTCAGTGTTATTTTCCTTTTTGCGTCATTTAGACGACAATTTATACATCGCACCCTGCATGTCGTAAAATGAGATGTTAGTGTTATTTTCCTTTTTTGCGTCATTTAGACGACAATTTATCCATCGCACCCTGCATGTCGTAAAATGCGATGTCAGTGTTATTTTCCTTTTTTGCGTCATTTAGACGACAATTTATCCATCGCACCCTGCATGTCGTAAAATGAGATGTTAGTGTTATTTTCCTTTTTTGCGTCATTTAGACGACAATTTATCCATCGCACCCTGCATGTCGTAAAATGAGATGTCAGTGTTATTTTCATTTTCGCGGCATTCAGACGACAATTTATCCATCGCACCCTGTATAGTCATTATGGAAGTTTTCTTTACCCACATGCTTACACATCCACTTAGGTCACGTTGGGAGTGGTTTAGGCATATGCTTATTTTCACAATCTCCATTGGTACTTGCTTGATTTGATTTGATTTGATTTTACGGCTTATCAACCCTTTGCAGGTTATTTAAAGCCAGAAGGTATTTTTAGATTGTAAGATTTTATTTTTCGGTAGGAGATAACGATTTAGTGATACATGTCTTACTAATTAACCCATAGCTGGGGGAGAAGTGGTGGGTTCATACCATTCTCAAGGGCATTTGCGCGTAAGTGAATATAAAGAACACAAAAGGGAATTGGAACACGGCTCTCCAAGAAACAATTCCGATCCATTATCCATTACACCACCCGCACATCCATGCTTAGAGCACCTGGTATTCTCAATTGGTCACCCTTCTAGGTACTGACCAGGGTTGACGTTGCTTAACTTCAGTGATCGTACGGAAATAGGTGTTTTCAACGTGACCATTAAACTCAGCCAACTCTCTCCGAATCCTCTGCACTGTCCTCAGATTGACACCCGAACACCCTGAGATGTTCGTAAGCCATTGATTCTTCTCAGGGCTGACGACGGAGGTAATAGCTGTTTTGCAGGTAATGCCTAGCCAGATAACTTAGCTATGGGAGAGTGCATTATCAATATAATTATTAATTAAATAGTCTTTGATCAAGGCTGTCTATGGAGGTAACAGCAAATTTGCAGCAATTTCCAAGACAGGTAAAGTATTTATAGAAGAGCGGTTTGACCATGTACTTGTTCACCGACAATGTACATTGGTAATGGTCCTGGTTTTAATGCTATTGCCTAGGGTGGTTATGAAGAATAGTTTGTTCATATGCTTAATCATATATTATATTGATTGTTCCGTGTTAAGTCTGATGACGGAGGTAACTTTATTTCTGTTCCAATTGTATGCATACATTTTGTAGCTATGGCACTATCTTATGCAATTGCTTTCTCATAACACCTTGTCAATATTGATTATAGACGTATCAGGGTATTGCTACTATTGCTTGGGCCAGGGATTTACTTATGAGAGAAGGTTTAAACTTACTGCTTAATCCTTACTCTCTCAACTTGTCCTTCTAAGATTTGACTGAGTTACCAGTAATTCTGATGCTAGTTTCTGGACAATTGATATAACTATAAGTGAACATCATCCTCTATCAAGTGTTCCAAAATATGGAACCCAAGATAAACCTTGGCAGTCATAAAGTCTCTGCTAAAGAAAGGTACCCTAGGAAATAGGAAATGAGGATATAGTACAGAGACTTGCTGAGGACTCCCATTCCTATGCAACAGTGGAGAAATGCGCTGTAGAAACCAAGCTGAGCAGGGACAGCACAGAAGATGACCCTTGGTCAGGTCATCTAAAACCCTCAACCATTGATGAACAAGGTGATGCCATTCAGTGTATGGTTTTGGATGACAGACGTCTTACTATCCAGCAGTAGGTAGGCTTTCCTACCGTCCGGTGAATACACCTCCCTCTTCTCTTGGATAATACAGGCTCACACATTGTTTCTTGTTTAGGAAGGGGTTCCCAGAACTCTCCCTCTCTTTCTCTCTGGCCTCTGTACTAGTGCTGCCGTGTTTTTCCCGTAATATGTGCAGTCTGAGGCTTTACATTCTGAGGGTACACAGTTGACAGTTTTCTGGTTGCTGTTTCCGACTCTTGCGTAGCGTCTTGAGCGGCCGCTCAGATCAACAGTTGTATAATACTGGGGTGTCTGTCGTGCCATATTGCCCATAGAAAGGTGTCCCTGCAGTCACCTCCATTCAAACCTGAGACCACATTATGTTGCAGGCTGTGCCAACTTATCTCTGCCCACGTCACGGTCGATAACCGTCCGCCTCTTTTACTTCAGACCTTTTTTTACCTCGGATATACTGGCTCTGTGTGAGACCAACCTTGACTCGTCTATCCCTTTCTCTGACCTCTCGATCCCCGGCTACCTTCTTCTCCTTAGAAAAGACTCTCAAACCCACATGCATGGCATTTGGAATTTACGTCAAGGACCATCTCCCGCTGGCTAGAGAGTTGTCTCTTGAATCTCCAGATCATTCGTACATGTCTCCGGGTATCTCTTCTCAATGCTGTAAGCTAACTGTTCTTCATTTATCGCTCTCCATCCTCGACTATGCATTTCTGACAGCATTAACAAGGCTCTCTCTCTCTCTCCATCCGTTTGCTCACATATTCGTGTTTGGTGATTTTAACGCCCATCTTACCAAGTGGATTAGAAAAGCTACTACTGACCTTGCAGGCATTCAAACCCTTAATTTTTCAATTTCTCAAACCCTCAAGCAGATAGTTGATTTCCCAACACGTTTTCCCTACACAGGCTTCTCTTCTCGATCTATGTTTTACTTCCATCCACGAGTCCTGTAGCACCACGCAGCTCTGCCCTCTTGGCAATTCTGATCATGCTGTAGTGTCTATCAATATCTCCTTCAACTCCACCTCCTGCAATGAACCTCCTACCACTAGAACATCATTCTGCTATCAACGAGCAGACTGGGACTCGTTCCGGGATTTCCTTCGCAATGTCCCCTGGGATGTTGTCTTTACGCTCCCTGTTACGGTTTTTTGGGTATATAACACTTTTAACTAGTGAGCGAGTCAGAATGACTTATTTCCCTTTATAGTCGACCAATGGAAGGTTGACCCGTCAAGGATGAACTACACTCTGCTGTGATATCCACTGCGAACCTGCACTACGCTTTCCTACTGTCTCCGAAATATTCACTGCCAACCTCTGGATTCTATACTCGAGGACGACCGTCATGAGAATGTATAACATAGGTTATGAGCCCAGATCACGATTTATTTTGACGGGAATGAATCTGGGTATGAATTATGGGAGACGAAGTTTTTTTTAGGCTACCTAAGAATACGAAAACTCCATGACATCATCTTTTGCAAGTCGACCAGGAGGGGGGCATGATGATTTTATGAAGAAATGCGACCGTTTTCGCTGAGTTATTTCAATTCCTGGATGACCGGAGTTTGTCTTTAAATAATGAGGGAGGCCAAGGACAATGGAAGCCGAGCCCTACACAAATTTAAACGAATACTATTTGTTAAAAGGTAAGCCTAAAATTATTGCTTTATATAATGAACTAACCGCGTTAAAGAGAAAAGAAAATGAATTAGTAACCAATTATTCTAGCAGAGAATGTCAGAAATGCTTTAAAAATGCAGGTGAGACAATCTCGGATGGGCTGCAAATAGCCATGGTCTTGAAGGGTTTGCCACCTTCATTCAAACCATTTCACGACAGTTATAACTCAAAAAGATAAACAAGTAACTTTCACATTGAGTTTAAAATTGCGTTACGTAATTATGAAGCAATATGATAAATATGTACCCCCCCCAAAATCGAGGCAAAAAAAAATGTTGTTTTCGTTGTGGTAATAATGTCGGCCATGTCCGTGCGAAATGTCAATTTTATACACGGAATGACTTTTGTAAACAAACAAAACAAACTTTTTCGAATGGACGTGCATATGCCTTTTTTTGTTTGGATTGAGTACTGTGGCCAGTACTTGTGATTCGGTCAATTCGGGTGCGACAAATCATGTAATTATAGATAAAACAAAATTTATTAGTTTTTGACCCGAATTTTGAGCTCGACTGACATTTTATCGAGTTACTGGACGGCACCAGAGCTAATAATTTAGCTTCAAAGAGAGGTAGTGCCTGTACTTATCTGCGAAATACTAGAGGAAATATATAGAATGTTTATTTAAAAAAAAAGGCTTTATATATTTTAAATTCAAGATATCCAGACAGGACTGAATTTCATATACAGCAATATGGACGTTTGTATTATTTGAAAAGTGTTAAGTCTGCGAAGATGGCCACGCATGACTTAAGAACTTGGCATAAGATATTAGGCCACTGTAAGAATTCTGATGTTAAAAGATTGCAAGAACATGTCACTGGAATAAAAATTACACTTCCAAATGATTTAAAATATTGTGACGCGTATATTAAAGGGAAAATGACTTAAACTTTGTTGCCGAATATTCAGGGCTTATGATTTACTTTCTGAAAGTAAATTTGATAATCTGCAATCTACGAAAATCTATTTATCTGAGAACTCCCCACATGGAAAATTAAAAATAATTCGAAGAGATAATGGTGGAGAATTTACTTCTGATGCTTACAAAAACCTCCTAATAAATTAAATAAATGAAGGCATTAAAACATGAGAAAACCTGTTCTTATTCTCCGCATAAGAACAGAACTGCTGAACGAAGTTGGAGGACACTTTTTGAAATGGCTGGATGTTTGTTAATAGAATTTAAATTACCCAAGAAGCTGTGGTTTTATGCATTAAGAGAGAAACTAAAAACTCAATGAGAGCCCAATGTGAGTGATATGCATACTTTTGATATAATTTGCTATATATATGTTGACCAGAGGGCGGAATTAGATCCGAAAAATGAAAGGGACATATTTATTGGGTAGGATAAGCCAAGTCCAGACTATATGATTTATTAAAATGATGAGGAAGATCAGATGCGTCGGATAGATAGATTCCTTTGAGCGAGGGGGAGGAACCTAAAGAAAAAACCAAAAAACAAATAAAAAGAATATTAATTGCGGAGAACTAGTCCAACCCGAATGAATATGGCCTAATTATGGGTAGAAAATCCGTTTAGAGTCCACAAGCAGTGGAAGGTACTATACCAGATGGAGTATACGAGAAAAAAAAATCAGGTGCAAATTCCGACCAAAATGGAGAAAAGCCAGACTATTTTGAAATGGATTAATGTAATATTAACTGTTGTTATGCGGTACAAATGTATCTCAAGGAACACAAGCCATACATTCTGTTAAGATCAGAGCGGCCATGTCTTCAAAAGACAAATGAAGAAATTTAATCCAAAAAAAAAAATAATAATAAAGAAATTTAATCTTTAGTATTTGGGGGACACTTTTTGAATCAAAACGCCCCGGATGATGATAAATATCATCGGCAGCCGTACTGTAAGGCGAACTGAGGATAGATCGTCAGTCTACAAGGTTCGTTTTATAGCTAACGGATTTTCATAGATATAAGGTGGGGACGACTTATGTAGAAATCTTAAGTCTTAATTGATGATAGAAATATCATTGGCAGCCGTTGGGTTTACACTGTAAAGCGAACTAAGAATAGATCGCCAGTGTGCGATGTTCGTTTTTGTGGCTAACGGATTTTTTTATAGATATATGGGGCAGATGACTTATGTAGTGACATTAAGTCTTAATTAGGGTTTTGATGCAAATGGATGCCCATTGTGGTAAAGATCTACATCATATGGATGTTAAAAAAGGCTTATTTCAGAATGCACCATCGACTATGAAATATATATGGAACCACCAGAAGGTTTTTAAAAAAAAGTCACTATTTGGACTCAAAATGAGTGGAAAAAAATGGAATAATTTAATCTGTTGTTATTTAATGAGACAA